GAAATGCCCGAACTTTCCACAATTGTAGCATGCTCCGCGGGGTACTTTCTTTCTCTTGAACTGCTGTGACTTCGGTCCTCGCGGTTGTGGTTTACTAGGACCAGGGTTTTTATAGCTTCCAGTATTATGCCTCTGGCGGACATAATTCAGCTCTTGCTGCACCATATTCAGTTCTGGTTCCTTCCTACTGGCTATTAAGTCCTGTTCTATCGCTAGGTGCATAGGAAGATCAGTGACAGACTTAATGGCAGGATTCATTCTTAATGTGGTGGCAGCCACAGCAAGTGAAGGGGGAAGACTATTCAAAATGGTTGCTACTTGCATTCTTTCCGGGATTTCGGTCCCAGCAGTGGATAAGTCCTTAGCCATGACAATCATTTTATTTATATGCTCTACGACATTGTCTCCCTCTTGCATACGACAAGAATTATACTTATGCAAGAGTAGTTGGATGTTAACTTCAGAAGCAGTGTCGTATTTTTCTTTTATTGCATTCCACATGTCCATGGAAGTTTTATAAGTTTCAAAAACTTTGATTAAATTATCTTCCATGAACATGAGCATAAGACTTTTCGCCTTTTTGTCTTTCGACTTCCACTGTTCAAACCCTTTCTTTTCTTCAGGTGTAGATTTATCAGTAAGGGTTGGAGCAGTGGTTTCGATTATATCATCAATCAATGTTGTCATAAATAAGAGCATATCCCATTTTTCTATGCCACATATCATAATTACTGCCATTAAATTTGTTAATTTTTCCTAGTTCTGATAGAACGAGTTTACTAGCCATTCGGTAAAGAACTAAAACTAAATTAATTTAAATTTGTATGAGGTTGATATTTTGACAAATATAATAAAGTTAGATAAAATTAATTAAATAAATTAAAATGAACCTGATTTTTGTGAGTTGAGAAACGAAGCTCCAATTAAAGCGAGGTCGTCACTTAGCGGTGTTGACCGAAGAATCTGTTGTCGAAGTTTCGACGTCGTTTCTGACTGGATTGGAGATGATCAACTTGAAACAGTCGGGCCAGCAAACAAACACAACACTCAAAAGCCCAAAAAGAAAGCCCAAAATATGTTAATGCAGATGTATTAATAGGAGGGCTCACGAATTTTGATGGGAAAAAAAACTTGAAGATAGGACTTTTGTAGGCTTGGTGTAGGACAAGAAGGAATAGGGTAGGCTTTATTGTATAGGACAAAAAAAAAATGCTAGCTTGCTAGCTGGATGTGATATAAAAAAATGCTAGGTTGCTAGCTTGCTAGCCGCCTTTTGTAGGCTTAGCTTTAAGCTTGTGGATATAGGCTTGCGGCTAGCCTATGAAGAAAGAGTAAAACCGAAAAATAAAGGGAGAGAGAAGGCTATCTTTTAACTGAAGGATATAGGGTGAGCTCCTTTTTCTTTTTCAACTGGCTAGCTTCTTCTTCTACTTCTTCAACTGAAATCTTCTTCTTCAACCGAGAGCTTCTTCTTCAAGGAGTTGGAGAGAGAGTTTTCTTTGCTGAAAAATAGCAGGATTCCAAGATGATGAAGAACCTTGAGCTCTGATACCAGTGATTGAAAACAGAGAAGAGAAAAGATGATATCCTTGAAGGGGGGCTCCGGTAATGGGTAAGAGGTTTTCTTTTCTTCGTTGTATTTTCTAAAGGAGATCAACCCTCCTTTTATAGGGGCTAACCCCACTATCTCCACCCCCTTCAAATCGGGCTTTCCAAGTATCAACCTTTCTCTTTAACCAGTTTGATTCCGTGGCTTGGCACGCACAACTTAATCTGACGTGATCCAGCGACGTCAGTTTCTGGAGTATCAGTCCAAGGAGATCCATCGGAAGCCCTCTCCGATCTTTCTCGGCCATTTTGTGGAAGGTCTGTGCCTCTTAAAACCAGCAGCATAGATACACACACGCTCAACGATGAAGAGGTTTTGACGAGTTCAATAGGTTACTGATACAAAGTTTGGCAACAGCCTGTTCCTGATGTAGTAGTGATTAGGATTAGGATGTTTTATTTAATTTAATCTAACTCCTATAATAGTTATTTATTTTTAATCGTATTCCTGCAGTAGCGATAGTTTGGATTAGGGTCATGTGGTTTATTAATTCAACCCTATTCATTTGTTAACGAAACTACTCGAAGCCAAAACAACAAAAGGAAGCCAGCATATGCAAAAATAAAAAAAGAGAAAGAAAAGGGTTTATTTGCAAACCTGCATCGTAAATAGGAGGCGTGAACATTGTGGGTGGCTGGCGAGGAAAAAAATTTTCGTGGTGGTTTTCGAAAAGAAGACGGCGGTGCAGAGCTCAGGCGGTGACGGGATACCTCGCTGGCACTTGAGGAGGAAGACATTATTGGATGCACACTTAGGGTGATAACTTTGCATAGACATTTTCTGCCTTCTTTATTGGGCATCGAATCGAAAATTTAAGGGCCTGCTAATGAGGGTAAATGGGCTGACCCATGTAGTGCCAAATTTCTACAACATTTTAATTTTATTTTATTTTATTTTATTTTTGGACAAAGGGCTTAGGTAGGCCTTGCGATCATATGCCCGTACCGATTTCAGTTCTTCTAGGAGATTTGTCAATTACAATCCCGTATCTTGAGGTATGGTATAATTACATGGGTAACCCTAAAGTTTGTATATCTACATAGATAATTTTGACGTTACTGATTATAGTTACATTGGTAATCCTAAGAGTCTCTGTTTCCATCTCTACACTCTAATTTCTCACTCTTCACTCGTGCTTGCTCTTCTTTGTTCCTCACTTTCTCTCCTGTTTGCACTCTCACACACACTCACAATCAGGCCCCTAGTGAGCTCTGATACCAATTGTTAAGAATTGGTATCAAGCTAGGTATCTGAGAAACAAAGATTGATTGAATACTACAATACTTTATTGAATGCAAACATCTGGCTTTATAGCCTTACAACCTAACAGAAAGAGAAATTGCAGCCCACTAACATAGTAGTAAAACTACAGAAATTGAAAATTTCAAAGCTAACAACTACATCCTAACTTGTAGGATCATTATTTGACTGAGATTCTAGATAACCAAGATTCCTACTTTCAAGCAACAAACAACAACAACCACGACTAAGTCTTCCAACAATCCCTCCCTTAAGCTAGTGCGTTCAAGCACTCAGCTTATACTATTCAATTCACAAACTCCTAACACCTTTCCGAGTTTCTCAAAAGCCTCCAGTTTCAAAGATTTTGTGAACATATCTGGCAGCTGCTCACTAGTATCACAATGAACTAATTTAACAACCACCATCATGAGTTAATTTTCTAAGAAACTAAAACCTGACTGCAATATGCTTGCTGCGTCCATGAAATACTGGATTCTTGGAGAGCTTTATGGTTGAACTATTATCACACCAAACTCCTAACCCTAACCCTAACCCTAACCCTAACCCTAACCCTAACCCTAACCCTAACCCTAACCCTGACCCTGACCCTGAACCCTGACCCTGAATATGTTAACTCTCTTTATGTTATACTTACATCATTCTTATTATTTATCTTACGTACCAGACTTTCTTATGACCTTATGTTATATATATATTTTCTTGATGATTACTTGCTTTTTATACTTCTGCTTTATCATTATTCCTGCTTATTTTATATCTGCTGACAATACATTATTGATTTATACTATATGTATTTTACTATTAATTGTTATAATCATATTCTGCTTGTTTGACTTTGTATGTGACTTGCCCATATAACTTATATTTGATATTGTTGCCTAATGCATTCTAATAACATGTTTCATGCCTTATATATACAATATGTGAATTAACATTCACTCTTTTCAATATGTGAATTTACATTTACTCTTTTCTCTCCTTCTTTATTTGTAGAATATTATATCTAAATGATGCTTTGTATAGAATGTTTTTATTACTTTTCTATATGTGTGCTATAAATGTTTTATATTTACTTTATATGATTAAATATTATTTTGTGTCTATGGTGATAACTTAGTGTTTTATTATAGTGAATTGTATATTTGTATTCATTTATCTCTAGTGTTTTATTTTAACAAATTGTATATTTATATTGTGATAACTTAGTGTTTGTGTGTCTATATTTTGACTTATGTTTTTCTCATGCTCTACTTATGGATATGCAATTTATTTTGAGTTTTTCTTTACATGCGTTGAGTTGAGTCTCTATTTTCACATCTTTGTCCTTGGGTTCTTTCGTATTTTAATTCCGAGAACGGAATTTGTTTTAAGGGGGGTAGAATGTAATGACCGTGAATTTTTGATACTAGTTAAAATAATTTTTGGTATTTTAAAATATTTAATTATTATTTTTAAAAGAGTATTTGTATTTCTCGATTTTCTAGATTTTTCTACGATTTAAAAAATCCGACTTATATTTATTTAAATTATTTTGATATTTATAAATTAACTTAGTGCAATAAAAATTTATGGAATTAATCTGTTGTGTTATTGATACTATTACGTATCATTTTGAATAATACGTTGTATTATTTTTACTATTAGGTAATATTTCGTATAATACATTGTATTATTGTTATGTATTATTTTATACAATTTGATTTAGTATTTCTATCATTGCATAGTATCTGTTATATTAGTATAACTGGTGTGTTTTATTGTGTAGATAATAGATAATTATTCTATAATTATTTGATTTTAAATGTAAGTAATTATATTTTTTATTAATTACTTTCGTTTTAATTAGCTAGCCCTAACCCTAATTCAACTATATATATACAGCCCATATCCCCTCTTCTCATGTTCACGAAACGCAGCCGCCTCTTATAATATGTTCTCTCTCTTCCGTGCTCTCTCTCTCTCCCGACTCCAGTTCCAAACCCCGCCGGCCATCTCTCCGCCGAGCAGCCTCCTCCCCCTCCGACCTCCCTAACGAACCAGGCCATTAGATATGTATACGGCACTGGTACACGTGGTTGAGGAGCCTTCCCAGCTTTCTTCTTAGTAGCTTTGACTCTCGCGGCGTTGAGAAGCTCTGAAGTCAATACCCTCAGGCCGTTCTGGGTACAGCTAACCATAGCATTAAGGAGGCTCACAGGTCTCCCGTGTGCTAGCAAAACAGCTGGATACACAACCTCAGCTAATATTGATTCTATTGGTCTTGACGGTACCACACACCATAAATACTTTATTTTAAATTAGTTATAATGAGAAATAGTTTTAAGGAATAATTTTGGAAAAAATAATATTTATTAAATAAGATCATAGAGCGCGACATTTCATGTGCAAAACGACATCAGTTTCCAGTTTTCTTGTTGATTATTGCTTGAATTTGCAAGTTATCCATAAATTGACAGCTTTAAGATATCCATTTCCTCCCAAAATCTGATATTTAGGCTTCTATTGCTGTTGAAATCTGTTGAATTAACCTAATGAAGCAATGCTACTTACCAATTTTAGCTTGTTAATTTATATTTTACGGAGTTGAGGAATGAGACTTTTCAGTTTTGTACACTTCAATTTTTTTTGTGGGTGAACATTCAAATTTTGTGAGAAAGGATTATAAGTGGATGTGTTCTTATGCAGGCCTTTTCAGTCCTATGTGTAATTCCCTCGACACCATGCTCAAAGATCACATCTTGGAGCCATCTATCGACGTCAAGATGGAGAAAGTGAGCTTGGTAGAAGTTAATAATGATGGAGTTAGTGAGGAGATTTGTCCAACTACTGATCCAATCAAGGTTGCAACTGATTGTGATTTGAAGGAAGAAAGCAGTGAGGGGGAGGGAGGGGAGGGGGATTCTTCGAGTGATGGCTCTTCTTCTTCTTCTTCTTCGAGTAGTGATGATGAATCTTCGAGTAGTGATGAGGAAGGTGATGTGGGCAAGGGGGTAACAGCAGTTGAAGTTGAAGAGGGCGAGATAAAGGTTGATGAAGTGATATTAGGCAGCGATGGGGAAGAGGATGTTCCAAGAGGACCCATCAAATCAAAACATGAAATTGAGGTAAAATCATCACAAGAATTTCACCAATTACTTTCATAAATAAATGTCTAAACATCTTTGGGAATATATGCACAAATGAAGCATGTTACACTTGTTTGGGTGCTAAGGCCTGATGCGTGCTTTGCTTGTCAGTGTATATATTTTGTATATTCTAAATTTATTGTATGCCCTATCTGCTATATAAATTTCATGTTATGAGTCTTCTTTGGTTTGGTTGATCCCGATTCCATTTACAAAACTCTTATAGATAGGTTTTTGGCTTTTCTGTCTGCTGTCAAGATGCATCAATGATGTTAGCTATATAATCTATGAGAGATATATACTTTTATTCTTGCAAACTGTTAATGAATCGTGTGTTTATTCTATGTTAGTTGTAAACTTGTAAGCATGTGTGTGCATTTGCACATAATTCCCTTGCGATAAAGTTTTTTTCCTCACCCCCGAGATTGACCTTATTTTATACATTGAACATTGCTACTGTAGGATCTCCCTCCAGTTCCTCCACTTGAAGTATCTCTGGAACCACACCATCAGACTCTGCCAGTTGGATTTGTGTCGTCTGTAAGTCCTTGAAAACTTGTGTTCCCTTATTTTGTTTTCCATTCTACTTCATGTTCGTTCTATGAGTCATGGTATCAGTTTATTTCATAAGATGTTGATCATAAGCCTCTCAACTCCTCAGTGATTGTGCACAGCAGAGTTTGATAAATAGATATAATAAAAAAATGAACACCCTAGTACGTGATAAACTTGATGATTTGTTTCATATCAGGTTCATGTCAGGTTCTGAGATTTACTTCAAAGTAATGACTTTCTTCTAGCTTTTGTGGATGCTTGGGGCCCTTTAGTCTCATGAATGCTACTAAAGTAGTTGACTCCAAAATCTCTAAGAGCCTTTTATGCAAGTTTCATAATATTCTGCTTATTGATATATTGACTTGTTATAATGGTTTAAAGGGTGAGCAAGCCATTTTATTGTCCTCTTTAAGTCCACTATCTCTACCGTCTTGTCAAGATTGCTTCTTCTTTTTTTCCTTCTCTCATATATATATATATATATATATATATATATATATATATATATGACTCCATATTCTCTTTTGCTGTTGCTCCAAATCTAACTACGTCTTCACTTTGCTCAAGATATTGAGCATCAGTCATTGTGGAGGGATCGGAGAAGCACAGCCCTCTCAATGAGGGATCCATTCTTTGGATTACTGAAACCAGGTTGCCGCTAGGAAGAATTGATGAAATATTTGGACCTGTGAAAAACCCCTTCTATATTGTCAGGTACAACTCTGATGATGAAGTTCCTCAAGGAATCAGCACAGGTGTTGCCATCTCTTTTGTTGTGGATTTTGCCAACTCTGATGATGAAGTTCCTCAAGGAATCAGCACAGGTGTTGCCATCTCTTTTGTTGTGGATTTTGCCAATCATATTCTAAATGAAAATACCTCTATGAGAAAGGGTATGATGCATCAGGTATTGATGACGATGAGGCCGCTGACGAAGTGGAATTCTCTGATGATGAAAAGGAAGCTGAGTACAATAGATCTCTCCGTCAAAGTAAGCGGGATGCAAACTATGGGAAACAGGAGACTGGGTTTTGCAAGAAAGCTAATTATAAGGGTTCCAGGTTTCAGAGGGGCCAGCATCTCCAACCTCCTCAATCACTGCCAGTGGCAAGAATGAACCAGCAACTGGCTGGCCAAGAAGGACAGGTTCATGTATCCCTTAATAGTGAGGGATACAACAATTGCAATTATGATCATAGGGCTGCAGGTAACATTCTTCATACACCTCAGCAGTTGAATACACAAGGATTTCTACTTCAGCCCCAATCTATAGGGTTTCCTGCTCAAGCCCAGCCACCCATCGGCGTGCAAGGAGGATTTCCTCAGCCCCATTCTGAACAGTTTCCTGCTAAAGCCCAGCCATCCATGGGCATACAAGGAGGATTTCCTCAGCCGCAGCTTGTAGCAATACAAGGAGGACTTCCAATGAACTTGTTACCATCTCAGCAGTTTGGAGATCAAACTTATAATCTCCAAAACCAGAATCAAGTTTTTAACAATTTCGCTAATGGAATAATGTCATATCAGCACTTGCAGCAGCAGCAGCAGCTTGTTTCTAGAGCTGGAGCGCTCCCTGGTAACTTTCAGTGGTTTGGTGGATTGTCATCTTCGTTGGCTCTTGCTGGGATCACGGGACAAGCTGGATTTAGTCATGTGCCATTTGGTTATGGTAATCTGAACCCTTCTCAGGAGCAGAGCCATGGGCTGCCTCCACTTGCTTTTAACCAACAAGCTGATATCAGGTGTGTTTCACTGCAGTTTAACCAGGGGAGGTCCTCCGCCTCCTCTAGGGGAAGGGGAAGGCGAGCTTATCCAAGAGGTGGCCGGCAGTCCTTTGCGCACCAAGGTGGCAATCAACATAATGGGTAGATAAATATGCCCAAAACAAATCATTTCTGTTTCCAAGTTTATGCCATCTGTGGGCTTTGGTGTTTAAAGTAATCGATCATATTTACGTGGTGTTTAAATTGACTATTAGATGTATTATCCAGTGACTTATACCGTGTTGTTACTTTCCATCTGTCTTGTAATAGCAGTGAAATTTTGGAACACTGCAGCGCACCGCCTGTCAAGTGATGATCTCTTTACAAGTATATTATTTGAAAAAAGTAATCGATCATATTTTGGAACACTGCAGTGCACCGCATGTCGAGAGATGTTCAAAGTAATCGATCATATTTATGTGGTGTTTAAATTGACTGTTAGATGTATTATCCAATGACTTATACTGTGTTGTTACTTTCCATCTGTCTTGTAATATCAGCGAAATTTTGGAACACTGCAGTGCACCGCATGTCGAGAGATGTTCTCTTTACAAGTATATTATTTGAAAAAAGTTATCGTCGTATTGCAGGGAAGTCCTGTCGCTTGCCAAATTAAAAATTTAGCTTGTAGTGGGTTCTATAGTCAGTGACACCTTAGTTGAAGTGCGGCCTTTTACGATTCAGGTTTTAGTCTATCGTGGAGGAGGTACAGCTGCCAGCGTAGACACTGCCTTTGCATCATAGATCATTACTTATTTTCTAGTGTTACTTCTTTGCCAGGAAATCATATTTAGTGTTGTGTTCTGAAAGTGCACATTCAGTAATTTTAATTTCTGCTGTCATCGTTTTTTGAAGTGGATGTCCTTTGAGGTGTAGATCTATTCCTTGTTTTTTAATTTCTTACTAACAGTTGGATGCTACCTTGTTCATTATTTCCTTTGGACAAGAAGAAGGATGTGGCGAAAAAGGTTATTCCTGCAATGACTGCTGGAAAGGATGTTTTTTTCTTCATGGATGTGGTGAACTGCATGCAAAAAGAGAACTTGGAGCTGAAGAATCTTGTTTAGCTGTATCTTATAAACTATGCAAAGAGCCATCCGGATCTAGCCATTCTTACTGTCAATTCTTTTGTGAAGGTTAGCTTGAGCTACATTGTTGAATGCATTCATGAAACACTATACGCAGCATGCAAGTTTAGAAGGTATATATGTTGGCCTTTTCTGTTGGCTCTTGCCTATTAATGTCCTGTAATTAACTTTATCAAATATGCCTTTATGAGAGCATGCATGTGATGTTTTTTTTTATTTATTTATACAATACCTATGATATGTAGGATATTTTCCAGAACAAATTCTCATATACATCCAGATGTGACACGTGCATCCAACCATGTCTAGTGCATGCTTGGTGATAAGAATTTAACAAAGAACCATTTAAAGATTTATAGCATGACACTGGTTTTCTCTGTAAATGGACTTGGTACTCCTGTTAGTCATCTTCAATGACTATTATCCCCATCCACCAATAAAATGCTTAAAAATTAGAAATGAGATTGATCCTCCAATATTCCTCTCATATTCCCAATAGTAAATCCTGTCCATGCTTCCAATTTGATCGAGCAATGTAGTATGTTATTGTCACAGGAATCATCCTTAATTTTGGTTAGCAGTGTACGCATGCCTTAAAATTCCCCAAGTTAAAGCTATTAGCAATATAGCCTTTTCTTTGATTACGGGGCCAATGTTTGGAAATAGAATTACAACCGTTCGCTCTGCACTTGTAGCTAACAATGTTATTTTGTTTTATATATTATATGAGGACGGTAATTAACCTTAGAAAGAGATGGGTTAATCTGAATGTTATCGAAGATGATACAGTAGATGGAAAAAAGATGGATATAAAAACTAGAAACTTTTTAGTTTGGGCCAGCTTATGTTTCAGTTTCAGTTTCATCTTTTGTTCTGGGCTTGCTTGAAGGGTAAATACAAGTGTATTTGTTTTTTATGGGGGTTAAGCTCACCAAAAATTCTTATATTCACCAATTATTATTTTGGATGAATATGATACTTGATAGCAACCTATATTGCACGTTATGTATTGGTATGACTATTATGTACTTTTCAATTTGGGCAATGATGATAGTCCTATTATGAGAATGCAATCTACAATGATTTTATAATGTTTATAGTAGGGCAATCTAGGATGAGGTTGCAACCTACATTGTATTTACAATGTTAGGTGAGGCAATCCATCAATGTAATTGCAATCTACATTGCAATTTCATTGTTAGGTGAGGCAATCCATGTTTTTATTTTTACCTATATCTGAGCCCCTAACTTGGTTATATATACTTAAAATGATTGGATTTGGGTCATTTTTTGGTTGCTTTTGGGTGAAAAAGATTGGATTTGGTTATATGAGGCTATCCATGCTTTGTGGGTTTGCTTGTGGGTTTAATTGCAGGCTTGGTCATTTGTTGGTTTGCTGCAGCCTATATCTGAGCCCCTACCTTGGTTATATATACTTATGATTGGATTTGGGTCATTTTTTGGTTGCTTTTGGGTGAAAAAGATTGGATTTGGTTATATGAGGCAATCCATGCTGTGTGGGTTTGCTTGTGGGTTTAATTGCAGGCTTGGTCATTTGTTGGTTTGCTGCAACCTTGTTTATTTGAGCTGCTTGCTTGTGGGTTTGCTTGTAGCCTTGGTCATTTCTTGGTTTGTTGCAGCCTTGGTTTGTTGTGGGTTTACGCCATGCCTTGGTTTGTTGCGGCCTTGGTTATTTGAGCACTAAGCTTGTTTTTGATGTCTTGTGAGCTTGGTTGTTTCAGTTTAAGTTTGTCGTTGAGCTTAGTCGCTTGTGAGCTTGTGAGCTTGTGAGCTTGTTTGTTTTCTATGGTTTCAGTTTCAGTTTTAGTTTGGGTTCAGTTGGGGTTTGCTTGTTGATTTGTTAATGATGGCTTTGTTTTCTATGGTTTTAATTTCAGTTTCAGTTTGGGTTTCAGTTTCATTCATTTTTAACATAATGGAATCCTTTCTTTGTTTTCTTTTTTGATTGAGAAAGAGAAGAATTATCAGAGATGCATCCTGAAATAGTAATGGAGGAGAGATTATAGGTGATCCTGAGATCAAATGAAGCCTAAATTTGATGCAGAACATATTCGCAGAGCACAAATTTTATATGAAAATAACCTCACGAGTTTGGATCTTTGCTGGATTCTGGGCGTGCCCATTTTTATGGAGTTGTAATTATTAGTCGTAACATTTTTAGTAATAACTTTCATTTTAATTGAGTTATTGCATATGTTTTTTCCTGCATCTTTGACATTTGTTTTGGTAGCTTACTTGTGGCTGCTTACTTGCTATTTATATGAGTTATGATGATTGGTCACATATTGATATTGCCGACTACAATGGAATTTCATTGTTTACAGGAGGCGTTCATGAATGAGAATGCTATAATTTGAGTATAAATTTGAATGTGTATGCTTACCCCAATTGAATATATTTGTATTTGTTTTTTGTGGGAGGTAAGCTCACCAAAGTTCTTATATTCACCATTTATTATTTTGGTAATCCTAAAACTTGTTTGCTACAACTATGAATTTCAAATTCCAAAATTTGTAATGCTATAATTTGAGTTTGAAACAAACAAAACATTATAAGTTTTGGTATTACATATCCTAAAATTTTGGTGAAACAAACAACATTTTAGAGATCCCAAAACCCACTAAAAAATTTATGGATTTCAAATTCTATATTGAAATCCATATCCATAAATTTTGGAATTTGAAACAAACACCCCCTAAGAGAGAGAGAGAGAGAGAGAGAGAGAGAGAGAGGCTGTCGAAGTCGAGTTCCCTCTGCTCTCTCATCTTTCATCTCTCTGAAGTCTATGGTACCTATGCAATAGTTTCCTGTGTATGGGGGACTGAAATGAAAGGGAAGGCATCCGCGTCCAAAGAACCCGATGTGTGGTATAAAGAAGGTAGGTCTCACGTCTCGTTTCTTCCCTTCCCCTATTCGCTCTCTTTCTTTTTCAGATTAAGGATGCGAGTTTTAGGCGCTGTAGTTCTGTGACGTGGATTTTTTGATCTTCAGGGAGATTTCTAGGATATTTAGTCTATTACGAACAGATTGTACCCATGAATAGCTGGTCAATTTTGCATTGAGCATCCCCCCCATCTCCTAGCACTATGGATTCCTATTTTTGAGTTTCTATAGCTTTTCTCGCGACCATCTAACCCCCTACGGCCAATTTTTAGTTCCAAAATGATGCCATTTCTGACATTTTATGGGGTTTTACTAAAAAAATTTAAGTGTTTTTGGGGGTTAGGTTTTAGACTGAAATTCAGGGCTATTTTATGGGGTTTTACTAAAAAAATTTAAGTGTTTTTGGGGGTTAGGTTTTAGACTGAAATTCAGGGCATCTCCAACCCATCGCACCAAAATGGTGCAAATTTTACACCAAAATGGTGCAAAAGTCACATCTAACAGTAATTCATCTCCAACCCACTGTACCATTTTTTGCACCAAAAAGGAATATTCTCAGTATTTTTCTTTTTATCTACTTTATATTATTATTTTTTATTCCCTATATTTTTAACTATTTCAACAATTAACCCCACATATCAAATTTTATTTTTTCACATATTTTCCAAACAAAATGATTTATTATTTAAAAAATTAAACTAATAAAACAATAAAATATTATTTTATTAATTAAAATAACTTGATTGCTAAAATATTATATTTTTATTATTGATATTGCCAAAATATTACATTCAAGAACACAACAGAAAATAAAATATAAGAAAATAATTAAACATTAAAACAACAATGTAAAAATTACAAATTTAGTATGCACTTAACTATCTGAATTAGTGTATTCCTCCCATAGATGATCTATCAATACATTACGAAGCGCAATATGGGCATCTTTATCCTTGATTTTTCTGTAACGTGCAATAAATTGAGTAAATCTTGTAGTTTCATCTGCTGCCATATCAACTTCTGATGTTGGTGCTTCCCTCACTTCTTGAATTGGTGCATAAATATCACGTTCATCCTCGATTATCATATTGTGCATAATAATGCATGTAGTCATTATGTCATGTAATACATGTTTTTTCCAAAAACGTGCTGATCCTGCCACAATTGCAAATCGTGATTGGAGAACTCCGAACGCACGTTCTACATCTTTTCTACATGCTTCCTGTTTCATGGCAAAATATTTTTTTCTTCCTACCTTGTGGCTGTTGGATTGTTTGTACAATAGTAGCCCATTTTGGATATATACCATCAGCTAAATAATAACCCATATTATACTCTTTTCCTTGAATAACATAGTGAGCGGGAGGAGCAATACCTTGAGCTAGGTTAGAGAAAAGACTAGATGACTCCAGCACATTGATATCATTATTGGTGCCTGGCATA